CGACTGCTACAAATTCCCTTGTAAATTAGTTACAAGAATGTGGTGTAAGATTAAGATGAAAACTTCTACCTGGGTCCTGTCAAGTACGAGTATTCTCATTACCGTTTGAGTAATAATTAACAATTATTCACTGCAGTGGAGGTGAGTAGTGGTGGCTAATTACCAAGCTGTTAAGTGGCGAGGTACACTGTTGATATTCTTGGTATTTTAGATTAAGAAATCTTAAGCAAAATCTGTTTCAGAGGTTTTCACATAGCAATGCAGATGAGATGAAAATAAGTTCTTTTTCTTTTATTTAGGAGACTTATAGAAGAAGAGTTTATAATTAAAATCATGTATCAGTTGGTTGAGGCTCTTAAAGAATGCCATCGCAGAAAGAATGGTGCACATGTCCTACATAGAGATCTTAAGCCGGCCAATGTTTTCCTGGATGGTAATGATGATGTGAAACTAGGAGATTTTGGATTAGCAAGAGTACTTCAACACGACACAAGTTTTGCAAGAACATTTGTAGGGACACCTTACTACATGTCGCCAGTGAGTTATTAACTACTTTTATTTTAAATTTAGCCTTTTTGTATGATCTTAGATTTAACTGATTTTTCCTTATGAATGGTAAGGTGTAAGGGCATGAATTGAAAGAAAAGTGAATCTGGCAAAAGGTGAAAGATCTCTGCCTGAATGAGGACATACCAATAAACCTAAAAAAAAAAGAGAGCCTTGTTGTTTTTGGTCAGCAGGAATTCTCTTTGAGCTTGTAGTTTAACTTTTGGAACTTTTGCAGCATTGAAGAATGTGTTTTTTATTTCCAGATGCCAAATATTATTTGATTCCCATGGTTAATGCATCACAATCAATAGGTATAATTGTTATTAAACGTAAAAACTTTAAAGTCTTGTAAATTTTGTTCCCCTTGATAGAGCCTCTTGTTTTCTTCATCAGGAGCAAGTCAACAAACAAAGTTACAATGAAAAGTCAGACATATGGTCACTTGGATGTCTGGTTTATGAACTGTGCGCCTTGTCACCACCCTTTACTGCTCTGAATCAGAGGAGTCTGGAGGCAAAGATAAGAGTAGGGAAGTTCCGCCCAATCCCTGAGCAGTACTCACAAGAGTTGAGTGAAACTGTTAACTCCATGCTGAGAGTAAATGTAAGAATTTGTCCTGTTGGTTTTTCCAAACAATGAAGCATTTCTCTGACTGTACAGTAATCAATAAAATGCATGGCAAGATTAATTATTTACTAAATTTATTTAACTGGATGATTCTACATATGCTCCTTTAGCATGATTATTTAAATGTCCAATCTGCAGGAGGAGCGTCGACCATCCATAGATAAACTTCTTTGCAGTCCACTTTTTCAGAGATTTCACCAAGAATCAGAACTAGTGTAAGTATCTTTTAACTCGGCAATGACAGTGCACCCTTTGATACAAGCCCATCCAGGTAAATGTTCACCTTCATTTACATTTGCTATTGAAAATAATTTTTAGTGAACTAACTGCTGTTCTGCATTTGAATTTCCAATTTTTCTCGTGTGCCTGTCTACTAGTTACTGAAAGGCAAATTTTGAATGACATCATCATCCCAATAAGTATTCACAGTAGAGAACATGAAAGTCACTACAGGGTCTCCATTTTTTTTTTTTTTATCTATGGCCTTTTATTTCAGAAATGATGGGAAGAAAGATGATTTTGAGTTCTGCAGGAGGTGGGAAAAACAACTGGCTGAGAAGCAAAAAGAGCTGGAAAGTATGTATATCACAAAACCGGTGTTGACTTTGGATCCCTATAAATATTCATTTTTTATTCGCATAGTGAAAGAATGCAATAATTTACCGCAGTTTGTGGTTGAAGCTGAATCTTTTAATCTAAAGCTGGGTTAAAGTATTCTTAAAATATGTGAATATGTAAATAGCGATAGGCAATAATCAATGTATACACATATTATTTATTTTTATTTTTTATTTTCTTATTTTTTACTCATTTATTCTTCTAGGAAATGTTATAGGGTTAACCTTGTGTTTCCTTTTCATAATGTACGTTACTTACTTTTATATTATTACTCCTAATCATCATGAATAAAGTAGTCTTATATTGTATTGTAATTTTAGATTTCTACTCATTATCAATAGTTTGAGGAAAGATATCAAAAGATTTTGTCATGGCATTGTAACTGAAGTCAAACTAGTCTTTTTTGTTTTTATTTTTTCTTTTATTGTGTCCCCTTGCTTAGAGAGGGAGAAAATGCTTCAAGATAAAGAAAGATCTTTGAGTGAAAGAGAAGAAAAAATAACAAGGTATAAAATAGAGAGAACATCTTAAATGGCTAGAATGTCAGTTTAGGGCATAGCCACTCTACAAATCATTTGTCATGTGTCTATCACCAGCATTATTCAACTTAAAACAGAATAATTGTTAAACAATGGGCACTATGGAAATAGATCTTGTCGTATTTTCTTTAGAGAAATATCTCAACTGCACTGTTGATGAAGTGACATATAGAAGGTGGTGATGTTTGTTGACTGTGTACTACGATGACAACCTTCAAACTTGGTGCAATTCAAAATTCATTATCAAAAGATGATTTTATCAGAAGTTAGTCTTAAACCTTAAAGTCCCTATTCACCCTCAGAAGTTTCTATATAAATTCGATTCTTTGTGTTATCAGGATTAATCTCAAAAATAAATTTTTGCGATTGATTAAATATTTCCTGAGATATGCTGCCTCAAAGTTACTCTTTTGGCCACGCCCCTTTGACTTGGCCAGGAGAGAATAACTGGGCCGAGTGACGTCACAGCAAGAACGAATGTTAACTTCTTGTATAAGAACATGTGTCTATTGCTGTAAAATGGTGCGAAAATGCCGACTCGTTGCGTGGTCACTGGTTGCTCAAATACACCAGATTCATCTAAAGGCATTATTCAAGTGAATGCTGGCACATTGATCAAGATACATTCTTGCTGTAACGTCATGAGGGACTTTTAGTTACCAGTGATAACTTAGCCCGGCCAAATCAAAAGGGCGTGGCCAAAGGACGAACTTTGAGGTGGCATATGTTGGGAAATATTTAATCAATCAAAATAAATTTTTTTGAGATTAATCCTGATAACGCAAAGAATCAAAATATATATAAACCTCTGAAGGAGAATAGGGACTTTAAGAACTGCCCTCTGATTGTTCCACAGAGCTGAAACTACCCAGCGGTTTCTAGGCTTGCAAGCAGCAGCACCTCATATTCCAAAAAGGCCATATTTATATGGCAACTTAGCCATGGATAAAGAGAATGATGTTATCAATGTAAAGAGGAAATTTACTGCTTATGATCCTGAAAACAGAGGGAGACTATTCAAAGATGCCACAGGGGACCCCTTTGGCTTTGATCGACAAGTACCCGAGTTAGGATTCAGGCATCCTAATATTCCATTTGGAAATGTTAGAACCACAAGATTGTTGTCTGATTACAGGTGAAGATATCATCGCCCAAAATTCACATGTTAAACTACTAACTCAGAAACTTGATATGTTGGGTATTAGAAATTTGATTAGGTTATCATCTAAAGGCAATCTATTGGAGCCAACTCATTCATGTAAACTGTTATACATTTAGACACATCATCTTTTCCTACTACCATGAGGACAACAGTTACTGTGTAGCTATTCACAATGTGTCAGATAAATATGTACTAAATAATTGTTGTAAGTAATTCTCATATTCTTTACAATGCTTTTTTTGTTTCTATTTCTACTGTAAGATGCAAATATTTGTATATTTGGATTAAATATTTGTTTTCAAAATAAAGATTGAATGAACTATTTTTTGCATGCTTCCATATTAATAACACACTGTGTATCAGCGATATTACAGTTACGTGCAGTTATGGTTTATTTTTGTGGAGCAAGCCTTCTCATGGGCAGGTACACAAACGATGAAAACACAATTTTTGAAATTTTTTTATTTTCACCCTTTTTTTTCTTACCGGCCCAAATGATTCACAAATGAATAAAATGTCATGTATACTATGTGTTCTATGAAATAAATAATACATAAAAGTAATATTTTTTTACAATGTTGAATTGTGATCATGCACTTTTACTCTAAATCATATAACTTTGATACAATGTCTGCGGTAGTGTGTACAATAATTTACAAGAGCAATTTAGCTCAACACTTTATCAGAATGTCATAAAAAATTTACATGTATATCATTCCCTCCTTATGAATCTATATGTATGCACTTATTTGCCTTTTTGGCACACTGAAAACAAAAAATGAGGAAAAACAAATTGATGATAGTGCAATGGGGGAAGCTCTAATTTTGACTTCTGTGCCATGGGAGCTCATGAGTCAGGTGCTTGAAAAGCAGTCTAGCCTGTAGATTTCTTGATGAACCTTCTAGTTTCAAGGCTGTGCTCTATAGAAAATTGAATGGAACCCAGAGCTCTGAAACTGAAATCCAGGGTGCCCAGCATATGCTTTTTATGAAAAAAACTAAAATTGCTGAGTTGCCCAAGAGCAAAAGTAAGGCACCAGGTGCTGCTAGACCACAGCCTTGAGTTTTTTTTTAAAATGTAAATTAGATTTTAAATACACAGTACTGTAATGCAGTGTTTTTGAGATGCACTGGGGGTTAATGTTTTTGCTGGCCACTTGTTTCATCAGCACCAGTTAATCTGATAACTTAAAGACTAAGTAGTAAAATACTATCTAGAGCTTTTTTTTTCATGACTGGCTAAGTAAAATCTCTGGACAACAGTGGTGACACCTTTTCTAAAATCTATTAATAAGTGGGCATTTTTAAATGGAAATGGAATGCAATGTACAGATTAAAATCTTGGTTCTGAATGAATTTTCCTCAGAAACACTTTAATATGCAAAACACCTAGTTAGTGCTGCGAAAAGCACCTTAAATAACATTAATATCTTTGTTCAACTTTTTACGCAGAGCTTTGTACTTAGAGTCAAATGTTTGACACTCTTGAAGTTGTCTTAAATAAGACTACCAGTATTTATAAAGATGTTGTTGATGGTCTGCATTAGCCACAAGCTCCCCTTCTTAATTGGTGAGCATAACACCTCCCTTCATGCTTAAAAGTAATCAGGATTATTTCTCAACGTTACATGTACATGTATCTCAAGTTTCCTCCAAGACTGAAGTATTTTTAAAAGCCAGGAAACTTTTCTCCATCTGAGGAATTGAACACAAGTCTCTGGAATTGTTCAAGTCCTAAAACTCTCCACTCTAGGTTGAACCCTTTCAAACCTAAGTTGCCGAAAAATAAGAAAATATTTAAAAATACATTTCGATTGCCTGTCATTTTTTAAAGTGATATTTCCTAGAAAGACAGTGTTACAAAAAACTCTACTCCATCAAAATGGTTAATCTTACCTGCTGAGTTTGAACATAGGTTTGTCACTATCAGATACATTATGTGGTTTCCTAGAAAAAAAATTAAAAAATATTTCAACACAATACAGAAAGCATTATTTTTGAAAATTCATAATTGTCACATGTCATTTAATCATGGCAAGCTTTTATTAGTTTACTTATTTGTTGACTGAGTGGGAGAGTAGACAGGAAAATATTTGGCATGAGGTATGGACTGAGTGTGGCAATGTCTCTGCATCATGACCACTTAGTGTTGAAAACTGAAAAATGTTGTTTCAACCTAAATACATGTAGGATGAGTAGAGACAGGCACATGCAGGACAACTACAAAAAAAAAAAAGGTACAAAAACTTTTCCTTAATTGTTTTGAGTTTGAACAAGTAACTCTCAATTCTACTTAGTATACTCTCTTCATTTTACCTTAAGTTTGAGTTTTTGCTACAAATTAAGCCCTGCAAGTGCACGACTGGATGGCTTATTCCAGACCAGCTCAGGTCAACCTCTGGCCCTATAGGATTGTGCACACAGGACCATACAAGTCATATGATAAATTTATCATGAGCAGTTTATAGGCCAACCTTATTACTTTATTGTGCTGTGTCTCTCGCTTGTCTTCAAGTTCTGCTTGCTGTTTCTACAAATTAAGATGAACAGTATTAATTCAGCATTTTATTTGGTACTCTATTAACTATGGTCCTACTATTAACAGTAATTATTATTATAATTAACAACTATCCACCCCTAGCCATTGACACTGAGGTGAAAAGCAACTAGAGATAATATAACTTACACAAAAAGATGATTTAAACTCATTAATTATTGCAACAACTAATATTATTTTTGGGCACCATCCCTTGAAAGTTGCTCGAAGGTGAATAATTAACAATTATTCGCGGAAGGCGAGGTGAATATTGTCGAATATAAACCGCATGGAACGGTTTATATAGCATCATATAAGGAACTGCTCGACCAATCAGATTGCTGGAAACTCTTTGCTCAGCACTGAAATGATACTAACATAGGATAGTCAGAGTTTGAGTAGCCAATCAGAGTGCACCTTCCTTGCTATCCACAGTTTTAGTAAATCAAGTCAGACAATCCTTGCAGATAGTTTTCTACATGTAATTACCAAACACAGTAACCACATAAGAGGTAAAATTTAACAATATTGTTTTTTCCCAAAAATCCCTTTGCCAGTGCATTTAATTGATGGTAAAATTTTTAATTTCTATAACCTTATTTTAACTCATTCAACTTACCCTTTTTTCTGCTTTTTCGTCCTTTGTCTTTTCTTTCTGTTCTTGCAACCAGTCTCTTTGATAACCCATAGACATCAAATGCTTAAAATCTACCTGATCATTTTCACTGAAAATATAATTCAGAATTAGGTTACAGCCTTAGAAAACAAAAATTATGGCTCATTTCAATTGAATTTTATAAATATATCAACACCAAGGTAATCCAAATGGTATATCAGAGCAGAAGAAAATAAAATAAGGAGCAAACTGCATGAAAAACATGAACCCTTTACTCCCTAAAATCAGTCTGCATATTCTCCATACTGTTTTCTATACATTTTATGAGATGCTGACAAGGAGAATTTATTTACCAATCACTTCCTATAAATTATTTTCCTGACCTTACTGTTTAATTTACGGATGTTATTGTAAGATGCAAGTTACTCTTACAGGCTCAGGGAATTAAAATGTCGGTGGCCATTAGAAGTGGCTGGGTTAAGTTTTTCCCTCAGATGAGAAATTAACTGAGAAAGTAAGGTGAGTTTTCTAGACCATGGAAAAGTAAAATAGGTAAAGATATTTCTAAATATTTGTGACGTATTCGAAAGTTGCCCTTTAAATTGTAAAATTCACTTAGCCATCCTGTCTGCTGTAAGTCACTTAGGAATAATCCATTTTAACATAAGAATATTAATTTGACTTACATTTTTGGTAGCCTTGCATGTCTTCCTTGACCCTGAGGTGCAACTCTTTGTGCTGCCTTCAGTTCTTCATACCTTTTATCCACCTTGTGAGTTTTCTTCAAAGGAGGAAGTCTAACATTGTTGGGATTTTGTTTTGTGTCTTTAGAATCCCTGGAATGGAAATACCGTTTATCTTAAACCTTTTCACCCAAACCTCAGTATTTGCATTCTCCATACTGTTCTCTATACATTTCTATTGGTACTGACAAGGAGAATACCTTTAACACAGGGTTCGTGCTACTCCTTAAACTCCTTGAAAACTACTTGAATATATTTTGCAAATTTAAGAGCACTTGAAAACTCCTTAAAAATAAGAAATTTAAAAAAAATCCTTAAAAACTCCTTGAATTTTTTACTTAAATATGCATTGAATGTGAAAAAATATATTGGAAACAATAAAAGAGAAAAAATATTGAAAGTTATCTGGTTCAAGAGCACCTTGGGAAAAAAATGTGCTACCATTATTGCAAACAAATGCTTTTTTTCATAGCAAAAAGTCAAATTTAAGTCCTTAAATACTCCTTATTAAAAAGTCCTTAAATTTAACTCTGAAATTCCTGCACAAACTCTGTTAACAATCAAAGCTTCTTTTGTTGGTAATTATTTCCTTTATTCTCATGATCTCAGTGAATGATCTGACAATATTTTTGTAGGGAGAAATTAGATGCTGGTCACTTATTAAGTCTCTAGGGTTTTAAGAGTTAAACCTTTGTTAAAAACATGAAAGACAGCACATTTCCTTAATTCCGGTTCATTGACTCGTTCTCATGATTAACTCTCACTCATGATTACAAGCACAAACTCTCAACTTATTGAAGAAAGGCACGTGGAACCAGGCCATATATGTGCAAAAGAACATCTGCCACATCCATGTTCATTTATGTAATAGACAACGAAATCACTTATAATGTCAATCAAATTAAAACTAATCAACATAACGCACAGTTTCCAACACCTTTTCTAATCAAGAGAAATTCAAAGTTAGTATTTGGTGACCATGAATGAGACCTTTTCTCTATTAAACATTTTCCTTTGGTACTAACAAGGAGAATACCTTTAACAATCAAAGCTTCTTATGTTGGCAATTATTTCCTTAAATCTCATGATCTCAGTGAATGATTCAGCAGTTAATTTTGTAGGGAGAAGTTAGATGCTGGTCACTTCAGACTAGGAGAATTCTTACCGTTGCCATTTTGACAGATTATCAAATCCCATTATGGGTCGTTTGGATCGAAACGACCCTGTCACAATCTCATCATCTGCTGGCACATCATGGATGTGTACATACCATTCTGGTAGGACTTTATACCTGAAAAGACCCGGCCACATTGAGTTGGTTTACTGCATTTGACCATTTGTTGAAAGACTTGTAAAATTTACATTATATTTTGTCCCATGAAAAATATTCAAAAGATGTTCTGTAGTTGTGATTCCAGGATTCCAATTCCATTTTGTCTAGTTCCAATTCTATAAGTTGACAAACCTTTACACCCAAACTTCAGTACACATAATTGTCCATATTCTTCCTTATGCATTTCCTAGAGTACTGACTAGGCAAATTTGTTTGAAAATCACATTTAGCTTCTTAATCCTTTGACTTTCATACATGATTAACATGTAACTTCTCTGACTTTTTAATATCCATATATTACCCAGCCTAGAGGTTAGTGAAAAAAACTCAAACTCATCAGGTACAAGTCATTAACACTGATTTATTATAATTTATGGCTGTCTCACAAGGACTGGGAACTACTAAATTCACGAATTTGATTGGTTGAAATCAATATTGAAAGCAGCCTAGATTTTCCCATCTAGACCGGCATCTAGACCAGTCTAGAAAAAAAGGTACAAAGAATATAAAAAACTGGCATATAAGACACAGCCATATAATAAACATCATTAATTTATTTTCTTATTAACCAGTCGGTCTGTATGGGAGAATCTTGACCTCAGTCGCTGGTACAGACCTCACTGTGTTTGGTCTGTACTGGTGACCTCGGCCAAGATTCTTCCATACAGACCTCCCGCTTGGTTAATAAGAACTAATGCATGAACACCAAATTCTTGTAACCAATTTACAAGGAAATGTTTAGCAGCTAGAGGGGAGAATTAACAATCAGATATTGGGAGTTAAGGGGTTATATCCTGTCAGGAGAAATTAGAAGTCAGTCACTTATAGGATCAAAGGGTTCACATAATGATTGATAATTATAGTAAAAAACAAAAATAAAACAAGTTATGCTTTGAAACTCTGAGTTGGCACGTTCTGTAGTATTGAAGGGTACATTGAAAGAGCTTATAGGCTAACCATCCAACAAACGGCTAATGCTTGAAACTTCAGCTTATGTTATCAACTTTTGGTATAATTTCAGAGCTGAGCAAAGAGTTTCCAGTAATCTGATTGGTCGAGCAGTTCTTTATATGACTGCTCCACGCGGTTTATACAAAATATTAAAATAAAATGTTAATAAATGTTACTAAAAATGTTATGATTTTAGAAATTTCTCTGTTGTCCAGCTCTGAAATTATACTAAAACAATTATTCGCCTCAGGTTCAGTGAATATTGTCGAATAATCCCCTCAACTTCGTCTCGGGGATTATTCGACGATATTCACCTCGCCTTCCGCGGATAATTGTTAAATATTATACATATCATGCATTATTATACGACTCGGGCAGTCAGAGGGCCAAGAACTAAAATCAACCAATCAAAATGCTCTATTGCTGGTCAATATTCTCTCAGTATTGGACCGGGCACTATCCCAAATGGTCCCAAATGATACCGCACTTGCGTCCCTTTGAACTTCAGTCGTATAAAAATAAATCTCTTATTAACCAAGCTTGCTCGGGACCGTACTGGAAGAATATCGGCCCTCGGTCTTTTTTGTACGGACCGAGCGCAGCGAGGTCTGTACTGTCAAGACCTTGGGCCAATATTCTCCCAGTATGGCCCTCGCACTTGGTTAATAAGATATAATATTTTGTACTCCAGAAATATCCGTGAAATTCACCTGTACTGAAATAACAAATTACTTGGTGTGTTGGATAATAAATCTCTTATTACATGTTTTGTTGTGTAGAATCGCTGAGTATTTTTACTTGTTTATATTTTGACTTGTCCCATAGGCTTGTCAAAATACAGCACAACTCGTAAAAATACTCAGCAATAGTAAACAACAAAACATCTGATAAGATATATATATTTTACATCAGTTGACTTGTTACAAAAATACATTTATGTGTCTTTGCTTACCCTTCCTTTTGCTCTTTGTGCTCCACCTCGTGTTGAGCTTCAAAATCAGGACTAGATTCATCCACTTCCTCTTCTGGATGTTCATGGTCAAACCATTCCACTCGTGGGTAAGGAACTGGTTCGTCAGCCCTCACTGGTGGACTGCGGAATGTCAACAGATTCTTCCGCCCTCCTCCTTTAGCAAGCTTTATATACTTTGAGTCTGTGTCCCTTATCCATTTCCTTCTGAAATGTCTGTCATCACCCTCAGGGTTTGCCAACTCATCTGGGAGTCCACCTATCCCAGGGATCTGTGATGCAGCAGGAGCAGGTTTTGCAGATTGTGCCACTTTCTTACTGGGAGCATGGTAATACCAGTCTGAGAGGAAAGAATAGGATGATTTCAAAATCAGATTATTAACTTCAGGGTGTAAGATGCCTTCCTCAATTTGCGGATAGTAAACTAGTAGACATCTTCATGGCATCTTTAAAATTCTCGGACTACAAAAATTTTCAACATAACTTAGGGTGCATTAAATTCATGGTTGGGACAGCTTGCACGTTTATCTGGATCAAATGTGCGCTTTTAAGAAGCGATATGTCTACATGTCGGGCAACCGGATAGGTTTTTGTAGGTCAGAAACCTAGTGTAGTGTCAATAGCAAGCAATTTTATGGTATGCATGAGCTCAGAAACTTCGTACACTACAAAAAAAAATAGGTACCTTTGGAAATTGCTTGCCCAAACATCAGATGCTCTTTAGAAGTTTTATACAATCTTTCAGGGAATATTCTGCAAAATTTCTGACTACTTAACAAACAGAGTGTCGGACACGGCGTTTTAAGAGGCTCACGTATATTATAACTTGTGTTCTTCAGATGAAAAAAAAGATTTTTTAATAGATTCCCTAGTTTTCTTCATACAGTCACTTTCGACTATGCAAAAACTACTTTACAAATGTCCAATATTTCCAAAGAACATAGTTTCAGCTGTTTTGATCCGTTGAAAAAAATTAACGGATAGTAAGAACACCTTCTGATGGCTCGTTAGCTAACATTTCGTGTTTTCGAAGGACTTGGATGAAATGAAATCAACTTAGATGCTGAAAATACATCAAAAGACTTAAAAATCAAGCTTCAACACCGTTTTTCAATGCTACAAAAATATGGCGACCTTCACTCTCGCGAAGTAAGTACAATCATTTCTCAGAAATTGCCGTTTTCATTTCTACGGCAGATTCTAAGTAACATCCTTACACCTCTTACCTTGGGTTGAAATGTTTGGATTAGGCATTTACGTTCTGTTTCTACTCGTGTCTTGAATAAACTGTCTTCACCAACATCAATTTCTGACCTGAGATCAGTTGTTGAACAAAGCGCTTTTGAAGAGAGTTTGTGTTTGTCTCTATGGTAACAAAATTATGAACGGACATTGCGTGACTGGTGCGTCACATCTTCGCTTGCTGTTCTTTGGAAAAGACCTCTGGAGCATGCAGCGCTAACGTAACGGTATGATTTTGTCAACCTGCTTTCAAATATGGTTCAGAGAAGTCAAATAGCCCTCTCACCCAACTTTACTACTCCTTGTAAATAGGGTTCGGAGTGATAAAATCTCGCAACATTCTGTACACCTTTCTCTTCATTTCTTTGGTCGTTTCATGGATTGTTTGCATTTCTTTGGCTTTCATCAATTGTCTTCGTTCGCGAAAAAGATGAGTAGGCAGTTTAACACAATAACAGGGTCGAGGAGGGCGAAGAAAACTAGGTTTAGAAAGTGACGGTCCAACGATTTGAGCCCTTAATAAATAGTGACTATTCATAGTTAAACAAAGGTAGCATCCGTGTGATGCACGATCCTCGCAGTAGAGAGCGCTATTTATGAAATAGCGAAAATCAGACCTGAAAAAAATCAGGCCTGTACGGGATTCGAACCACTGACCTCTGCGATGCTAGTGCAGCGCTCTACCAATTGAGCTAACAAGCCAACTGGGAGCAGGCCGTTAAGTTGATTCGTAATAAACCCGGTGGCATCCCAAGGAAAAACTTACGCCTTTCGGCGACCACGGTTTCCTCCTTACCTCCTGAAAAGAAGTTTGTTTTCGGGCCCTTGACCGATTTCATTTCATGATCAGCGTTGTTCAACTTAGTTTCCTTAGGAGAAGAATTAAATTTACTTTAGTCAACCTGTGTGAAGTATATGAAATACTATGGTATAGATCCAGGTTAGAGGGGGGAGGGGTTGTGTGTGTGAAAACGGTATTGTTCTCGAATGATACAGTAGTGTTACTATACCCTTTGTGAACGCCTTGTGTATGTCAATGCGGTACTGTGTGTGCGTGCTGACAGGCATGGGATATGTTTTATGCTCAAGTGGCCATGATTACTTGCCAAGAAAGCGAAGATTAGTAGTTGGCAAGGGTTTGCAAAAATTTGACGTTGATGAGTCGCGGCGTCAGCTTTTTAGGCCTGATCTTTCAAATCGTGAGATGGAAGCAAACAATACTTCCTTGTGAAAAATGTTTCCAAAACTGGTCATTCGTCGTCCTGATCTGACGGCTCTAATTAGGCACATAACTTGCTCGCGTGACTGAGGTTTGAGGAAAGCTTACTTTCAACTAATCTACGTTGATAGTGCTTGTCCAATCGCAATCTGTTTGTGTGGCAAAAGACGCACAAAAGGTCACATGGGCCGACAAATAGCCTCTGGCGTAATTCAATCGCACATGCATCAATTCTGCACGCTTATACTTTTGATAATTCCTCAAGCAGAATGAAGTCTTTTCACTTCCTTTTACTCCTGGCCTTGGTTAAAGCCTCTGCTATTCCAGAAATAACATCGGTGAGTTTACACAATCACATGTTCCGAAAAAAAAAAGCCAGTAGTCTTGATTCGGTCATGTTGTTAATTCATTGATAGACGGCATTGTCTCATTTTTAGCTCACCCGACTCTGCACGCGATTTGCAGTGTTCAGTATGCTTTAGAACGTAGACGAGGTTCATAATGTTATAATTGGGAGAATATTGTGAAACTACAGTGGACTGCGTAGCTTCGAAAGTTTATGTTGCGAATAGAGGCTGGATTGCCTAACAGACGATATATTCCTCGTCCTTTCTGTTTGTTTGTCCCTTTTTTTTTTTTTTTTGTGGCGTTTTCAGGTGAGTGGAAGCATGTTTCAGGGGCGCATCATGCATGGGTCACGTGCAAGGAAAACAAATAAATGTACGCATAAAAATGAAAGGGGTTCTACCACTCGCGTTTCACTCGCCCTCGCCTTCATTTAGCGTTTGCGTACTGCGTGTCCTCAAAGCGTGTGCCTGCGGAGCTAAGAATGCAGTGCACAGCGGGAAGAATGGGAAAGAGTTTTTTCCCGCGGAGAATGTATCATTAGCCATTCACGGTACGAGAATTAAACCACTACCCTTCGCTGATAACGTTCAAATCATTCAGAACTGACTCAACATAATCACCCTGGCGCTGAAGAAGCTAATAAATACCTTAACTAAGGTTAAACCGCATACATACAGGCCTTCGTTCTTAGTGCTTCGGTAAAAACGTTTCTTCGCCCGCAAAACGGTTTGAGGCTTTGAGAAACGCTATCCGGCAAGAGGTCCTAGTTGAATGCTATGAGATCGTTTCGTGTCAACCATCTGCATAATTTCTATGTTACTGTGCCAGCAAAATATAATCCATATAGATATTCTTTTCCTATCCGAATCGTACGGGACCAAAAGAGCTTACCAGGATCTCTTGTTGAGGCTAGGAGCTTGGCTGAGCCGTTCGGAGTGCACCGAAGCGCTATCTAAATATCCATCAGCTATTTGACTTGTTTATCCATTGTTACTATAGATCGTCAGTTATCCAATTTATCAGTCTTGTAAATAGTTATTGAATGTTTTTGTACGTGCGCCTGTTTTCATCTTTTAGTTTGGTCAACCTCCAGTTTTTCTTTTCAAGATGTTTTATAAGTTTTGTTTATTCATCTTGAATTAATACGTTACGTTGTGCATTTCACGAGCACTTTTTTGTATATATTTGAAACAATCCTCTTGGTCTCTCGAATGCAATAGTGTCGTTAAATTTTTTTGGACAGTATCAATTGTTGATCGAGAAAACCTCCAGAGAGAAATTTCCTCTTACATTTTCATATTATTACTTATAGCCGATACTTCCCAAATCTTGTCTGGACTACTTACATCAAGGTTTGACTCAGAATGGCTTCTATGTCCTTGTTGATAACCAAGGCCATCCATTCATGACTTACTGTGATCTGTCATACGAGCCAGGCTCTGCGTGGACCTTGGTCATGTCTTGGCAGACTGCGAAATTCCGGGATATGCCCTATTTCAAAACCAAACTGTTCACAGAAGATGCTCCAATCAACGCAGGTAGTCCAAACTGGTTTATTTACCGCGAGACGCTCGCAAGGATGAAATCCATTCGTAGCCATTCCACGCACTGGCGAGCAACGTGCGATATCAACAATCTAAAAGGGATCGATTACGAAGATTACCTCCGGGGAAGGCTCGGAGACTTGGATATCTTAAAATGGGAGGGTGGACGAACTTGCTTTCCTATAGACTATGTGAACATTCGCGGAAAAGCCGCGGGGTCTGGCACTACTATGGCATTCTGGCAGGTTCCAAATAAGTATATTCTCCACACAGACAGTACAAATACCGGATGTGAATTTTATTATGATGCGAATCCAATTGTGGACTTCTTTGGTTTCTATGGAGACGGACTAAGCGAAGAATTCCGTTGTAGTGCAGAGCCTGATTCCACAACTCAATGGTGGTTTGGCAGTTATCTCTCAGAAAATCGAATTTTTCAAAACATTTCTCAACTATTGGGCGTATAATAACTTATTTCATCCGACTAAACGTCGTAAGATCTGATAACGAATTCTCCCTTTCGGTTGCTATAGATTTTATTAGTACTGAAATGAATAGGATTTGGTGTAATATTATGATAACACCCTTTAGCAGATATGTTTGTCGTTTCTAATGATCTATTTGCTGGAATACAAGTAAACCCTCCTTTTCGGTGAAAATCAGTGGGAAAAAAAAAACTGATGCCAGCGCACCGCGCGGAATTCTGGGTGTAAGGCGCTAAAAAGTAACAGCAGCTTTTCGCACGCCTGAACCCAGAGTTCTAAGCGGCGCGATAACTAATCAATTTTTTTTCACTGAGATCTTTTTTGACTCGCACAGAGGACTTCACAGAAAAGGAGGGACTGCTGTCATAAAAAGTTCCGTTTTCGTACATTTACTTTATCTAACCAGCAACTTGTAAGTGCAAGTGATGAATGTAAATTGGACCAGTTATAATGAATCTGAATAGATAGTTATGATCGTTTCATATTTAGCTACCATTTAGGAAACGATTTTTTTTTCTGAGTTTAACGATTACCTAGTGTATGAAAACCAGTTTTTTGCTTTGTTTGGTGTTGTTGTTGTTGTTGTTTTACTAATTTTCATTATTTGTTAAAACAACTGAGCTATCTAATGGAAATGACAATAGTCGATAATGTTTTCTGGATTGAAAGTGTCCTCTCACCATTGATTTCGTAAATTAATGTTTTTTATTTCATTAAGCACAACAAATCTTACAGTGTGACGTCACCTTTAGATACCACTTCATGTGGACGGCAGGAAAGTCTTTTTATCAGCAGTTTAAATTATGACGTCGTTATATCGAAAACTAGTTCCAGAAATTCTGGTTATTGTGAAAAAATGCAACAGTTTTCAGGGGGAAATGGCGCACAATATTTGGTCGTCCCTTAAAAAAACAAACAGCCGGGTCAGTAGGTTTTTCCTTCCTTTTCATAAATATAGGGACTTTAAGCAAACCACGACGGCTTCGGCAACGAGGACGTGGAAAAACAATAGATCTAATTGGCAGAACAATAGCCCAGCACGTGCGTTTTAAGACTTTGTACATTTCTTAGCCGTCCTTTGCAAAACAACAACGTGAAATCACCAAAATTTGAGTCATCTGCGAAACGAAACCGCGGCGGCAAATTATTTCAATTTACATTTGGAACTCAACGCTACTTTTATGCGTTATGTTGAGTTTGAGGTCTGGGGCCCTATGAGACAGTAAACACATGCAGCCATTTTCGAAATTCTAACTAAAAGTAGAAACTCATTTTTTAATCGACGTCTTCCGTAGCGTTGCAGTCCTGACTTCTTAAAGTCCCTAATGTCAAACCCAGGTAGCTAGAGTCATAGCGCGGAAGGGACTGGGGTTTAGGCTTTCACAGCTAAATTAAAAGATGTTTGTAACGTGTTAGCAATATTTCGACAAAGGAAAGTTAACTTGGCAAAAGTTCATTTTGTAAGTCGGTGTTTCAATTTCCTTTCGATGATAACGAAAACACAGCTTTTTCCCCACAGGATTAGACAGTATGCGCTTGATTATTACAACTGTCAAATCTTGAGCGTCGATGGAGCTTGCAACTAAAGAGTTTTACATATTATCGTATGTATAAAAATAAAAACCTTGCCAAAAATATCTGACAGTAAATGAAAGTACTCTGAATGGAGAAGCCATGTTTCAGTTCCTACAAAGCGTAGAACATAAACACGGTGGCCGTTAATTACTGAAAATCGAGAACACTTGCTGGTGTCTTCAAATTTATCAAATTGTTTATTCTTCAGAGGTCTTTTGCCTGGCAGGGGTAAAACCTTCTGCATCCTTCAGGTTTTGTTACAATAATGACGTCAAACGCAAACCAAAAATAAATACAGGAAGTTTTTTCGAGAGAAAACTTTCAACCATCTCGCTCATGCTTCAGTTTAAGCTTGCGCGTTGTTTCAGGATTGAAAAGAAATTTAACTTCTTACGAGTTTAAAGTATTCGTTCATACTATAAAGAGGGGAAGTTGTTGCAATTATATTTAGTACGTGCGGATCAATTTTCAACTTAAATGTAAAGCTCTTTTATTCTATCCCTCTGAGAGGTCAGAAAATGTTCTCAGTTGCAAGTTACCGCTGAACGAAAGTCGATCTCTTGTTTCGAAATATAGGATTGAATTGGGTAACAAACAATTAACCAACGCTTTTTGAGAATATGCTAAAATGACAAACATTTTGTCTCCAAGCATAAGCTAGGATAAGCGTCATTAAAATTCCACAAAGATGGCTCCTCGTACCCCGAGAAAGTCCTTGACACTCGACAAAGGAAGTTTTATCATAAAATTACTGTAATTTTTCAGCTAGGCGAGTGTGTTCCAAGTTAATCCTCTCGCGGTTTCAAAGGTCAGGGTCACATTAGATGCTTATGTCACCCGTTTTGCGTCAATGGACTTGAATTAGGAACTGGCTCGACCGCACTGAACACTGTCTATGGAATAATCTCAAAATTTCATATATTGAGTGGACACATCACTACACTTGGAGGATTAAACTTTATGTTGCTCATATTTAGCCCGTCGTGACATTTCAATATTTTGATACTTTTTAATTTGTGATATTTCAATATTTATTTTATCTGTATTTGCATTTGAAAAAGCACGTCCAGATCGAAATTAAAAACTTCCACACTGACAAGTATATATTTATGTAGGAGAATTATAGCAATTTCATGGGAAAAAAATTGTCGCCATAATTATCAAGATGACGTTCGGACGAAGCTAAGGGAGAATGTTCACTTGATATAGCAAGATTAGATGCGATGGCATCGCGTTCTAGTCCGTTGCGTGACATATTAAAAAGTACCCATTTGGACGTGCGCGCAGAAGAGCTGTGTCACGATCAATTATGAGATATTCAGTTAGCGCCCTAAGATTTTTCTTCTTTTTCTGCGCGCAAGAAGTGGCTTTTTTTGTTTTTGGTGGGGAAGAAGTAAGAGGGGGCAGCATGTGTCGGCGTGTGTGTGTAAGCAAAAAAATTACCAAGGTAATTTAACCGAAACCAACACAGAGCTACAACGTACGGTTAAAAGAATAGCAAACTTGTCGCGGATGGCAGGTCACGTATACTTGAAAATTCAAAGTTCACAGAGTATTTCGTATATACTTTTAACAGCAGTTCTCTGTTATTTTACCCCCTCTAGAGATAAATACCTATGAACTCCCCCGGAATGGAGAGCTCACATCATGCTTACTGAGGACGGCTATTTCTGGTCGCGCGGATTTAAGCCAAGTGCTCGTCCACCTGTTTTTCGGTATCCTATTTCTATTTATTGTGTTTTCGAGTAAGCATAAAAAGACAGTGACCGTCAGGACAAAGTCCGCGTTATTTAAATTGATTAATTTCGTGTTGCGTGCGCTCCCTCGGGGAAACTCCTTCCGAATCCAATTAAAAGAACTTTTATCAGTTTATGTTACGTCAAGTGCTGCATAGTTGAACGTATGAAAATTATCTAAGGATGCGTCAGCGAAAATTCAATGCCAATACGCGATAGATAACGGCATAAGAGACCCTTTTCTTGCGCGGGTTTGCTATTTGCTCGGGCTACAAGCCTTAATATCAAGCGATCTAGCTTTCAAGATGAGGATTAGCTTGTTAACCTGGTAGTCGAGACAATTGTCTCACAGGGTGTTATCGAACTATTTATCTAGCTCTATGAATAACTGTTTTCATCCAATTTCGCAAAACTTACATGTTTGCATATGCTTAGGGAAGAGTGGCAGCCACATAGTCTTTGTGTGGTTTCCGTAAATAGTTTTACCCGATCATACAGATTTTTTCTGTTGTATTCTCGCCTCCTCGGATGTTTTGCTTTTTGTCCCCGATTATTCTTTCGAAAGGCGGTAAGAACGTCACGGCCTAAAACCGAAAGTTAGTTACGTGTCATATGACAATTAAAAAGGGAAGATGTGTCAAGTTGAAACTTTCCAGTCACCAAGTATGGCCAGTATGCTGTAATATCGAGAAATATTCTAACTAATAGGTCATGAGAGTAAACCCCCGAATCGGCTTTGTGTTTTAGCAAAAGATACTGATTAAGGTTTGGTTGTCTGGGAGCTAGTTACCATTGTTTTTGGGCGATAAATATGTGTGCCACAAATTAATCATAACAACGCTATTTTTGCGTCTGTTCAATGACGTCACGACTCCGCGACACATGAACTGACCGCGTAAAAGCGCAAACCTATATTGCAGTTCCTTTGTTATCTGAAATAGCATTACAGTTTCGATGGCATTTGCGATGGCGAGAGGAAAGTTCTCTATTTTTACGTTATTTACAATTGGTTTTGTTTTAACAAATGATGTTTCGTTTAGCGGATTCTTTGTCGAAGGTAAGGCACTCAAAGTTGTCTCGCTTTAGAAACTTTGTATTGGAAACAACGTATAGTCAGGGTTAAAATCGACGACAATATTTCTTCAGAATTTTGCTGTTTAACAACGAAGTTATTTGGATTGTGATAAGTTTAAAACCGATTCGTCTTTAAATTTTACCTTTAGGCGCTGTTAATGTTGGCGAGCAGCATTTGATTCAACACATCATTGATAACATAAATCCGAACGTCCGACCCGCGCTGAACCCGTCTAAAGCAGTAAATATTACGTTGGACATCACTTTCCACGGTGTGATTGAAATGGTGAGTGTGTTGTTTCAGTTTCTGTTGGTATCTACGGGAATGTTTTGAAATGTCTATTCGACGCAACTTTCACCATCGTTAGTTCATGTGACTTCCTGTTTGAATTTTATCGTGTTATTTTAAATTGACATTAGGTTGACTCGTAATAGTTAGGTGGTCGGTTGAATTGATGGGAAGGACGGATTTCGTACAGGCGATAGACTATAACTTCAGGATATAAACATCCGCGCGAGGTTTATCCGGATGCATAGACTCCGGAATTCGTTATTTTATTAGTTTCCTTTGCATTTTTAAAACAAGTACACACGACCTCCTGTATCAAAGTGATAATTTGTACCTGTGGGAACCTTTAGTGACGTGTTGGGTAAAACATTCAATTGGAAATTCAACGTAACAAATTACGAAACATGTTGAATTTGTTCACTCGATTGTGGCACTAGTAATGACATAGTTTTATGTAAACAGAGTGGTTTTACTTCTTTTTTCACGGAATGAAACATTCGAAACTTGAAAGTCGGTGTCTGATTCAAGGACAGGTTTGAGGAGATATTCTCCCATTTTAATTTTTCCATAAGGAATTATTGCATCAGAGACTATGTTAGCGGAGTGGGTAAGCATATCTTTCTTATCTTCTTCCAAAAATAACTATTAGAGACGCATCTTGAGTCCGAAGTCACCGGCTTGTCAATGGAAAGCAAATATATTGTGTGAATACCTGTTTGTTTACTCATTATTTTGTTTGCTGTTTGTCAATTTTTTAACGAAATTTAACGAAATTTAACGAAATAAGCTTATATGCGTATTATAGCCGAGTGGCTTACAAATTTAAATTCTTGAACACAGCTCGGGCATGCAAGAAATGCATTTATCGGTGATGCGTGAAGTGGTTGTTCCTTGCTAATTGAGGACAGCTTTGAAAGTTGTTGTTTAACTTTAACCACTTCACATTTCACAAATTTTGCCTCGAACCCTTTAAAGGTTAAAAGATTTGGTATTTAACTTATCCGAAAAATTGTTGTTTAAACTTGTATCAATAATCGGTTTACAAAAATGGTCTAAGATCTTATCCTTACTGTCCATCAAGGCAAAAATTAAGCCCATAGAAATGCATACATCTGTGAAATCAGGTAATGATACTTCATGCGAATGAAATTATGCACTTTCAGAGTTATCTTTTGTTGCTGTCACTTAGTTATTCATTTTCTGCAACTTTTCCTTCCGTTAAACTTTTCGAATCGCACTGAACTTAACTCGAGGGACTTAAGTTCGAAAGCTGTCTTGTTCAAAACTTCAGCCTATACGTGAGATTTTAAACATATGTGAACAATTCCCTAAGGCTCCATGACCATTTCAAAGCTCGGTATTTTCCATATTGGCAAGTCTTTTGATGAGTGACAATTGATATTTCATTTCGGAATAAATAAAAGATTGATAAACAGACAGTTTTGGAAGCAACGAAACAAAACGTTTCAAGCTGTTTGCATGAAAACTTCAAATTACCAACAGTTTGTGTTGAATAAATAGGATACGCTTCTGTGCATGTTTTATAAAGGACAGATTAATCTATTCTTAGTAAATCATAACATTTTTAGCTCTGCAATTGTGAGATTGGCGCCCGAAAATAAAATGAACTAGTTGAAATAGAATAACAGGAAATGTACAAAGATGCAGAAAACTTTGCCCAAGCTCGAACGTAGTAGGTTGTTGTAAAGCGTAGACTTCAGGGTATTAAAACTGGCTTAAACAGGCAACATGTTGAGATAGATCAGAGGCCCGTTCAAAATCACCTCTATGAAAAGTTTTGAAAATGAATTGAAAATGTAAACAAAAGGGTTTTTTCCGCCAAATTTATGCAAATATTCTAAAATGTTTACAAATTGCGCAGAACATTCATGTTTTTGTGAGCGGATGATATTAAAAGCCATTACTTTTTAAAAATAAGAAACTTTTGAAAATAATATTGAGAAGGAAAACCTCATAAACATTTACTTTCCACGCACATAAACATACGCTTACTACAAAACTAGTTTCGTCTACAGACCTCTTCAGTTGTCTGCGATGTATAGTTAAAAAATTGAGATCTCCTTGAATTTTTTAACGATACATCGCATACAACTGAAGAGGTCTGTAGACGAATCTAGTTTTGTAGTAAGCGTATGTTTATGTGCGTGGAAAGTAAATGTTTATGAGGTTTTCCTTTTCAGTATAATGATGAGTAATACTTTCTTAGCTTCGGCAATCAGAATTTCGCAAAGATTTTTAAAACAACAGGCTTGTTTTCAAGTGGTTGTGAGTTCAGACGAAAACGGAAATTGTAGAAAGCTTTTCATCTTTTTTTTTTTTTTATGTCCAAAGTTGAAAGATTACGGTCCTTAGTCTAAAGCATCGAAACTCTTGTGATGACGTTTTCCATACGCGGTTGCCGACGGTGTAAATAGGCGGATGTGCGCGGAAAAGTAGCCGTACTGCTCTAATTGAAGCCCCTCTCTTCTGGGCTTCAAATTTAAAATAAGGTTGTTGTAAGCTTTTAGGTTCTGTAGAAATTTTAATCTGTTCTCAGAGGTTTTAACCCCAGGGAAGATATGTTATCAATACGAAGAATGATTACAGAGACTTAAAGCCAACTCTTCAGACCACTTATTAAACCGCTGGCTACGCAAACTATAAGGACATGCTTTTTGACGGAATTCTCGTCCCGCAAATGTAACGGGTCACTTCTAAAGGCCAGAAAGAAATGTAGCTTCTAACCGTATCTACCCTGTAGTGTGTACAAGATAGAGTTCAAATGGGCTGTGACTTTTAATGTTCAATGATGCAAAGTGAAACATATCTCGGATCCTGTTGGTGCTGAAACACGCGCGCGTTAGATTACGCAACTCACACGCGCCTACGACTCGCGAGGAGTGAACCCTCGCTTTTCATTTCCGTCAGCGAGAACCGGACGCTGAAAGCGACACGGGGTCTTTTTTCGCTCTTCCATCTTGCGTGCAAGATACACATCTTTTGAACTCTGTCATTTCGTTGAGGTGCAGTATTCGCGCAGATTCCTTTTCCAAATACCAAAATAAACAAAAGAGGAGGGTGTGTATTGCACTACACGAATCAACTCAAAACCGAAAAAGCGTAATCGTTTGTAGCGACCTAAATAAAGTAACGCCAAAAACCACGGGTAGCCCAAGCTCGCAAAATGATTAACCGCAAATATATTTACGTTGGGCAATGGGCGAAATATAAACATTTTTATAGGTCGCACTCTCAACCTAAAGATCTGACTTAGTCTGTGTTCACACTAGGTGCTCTAGCGACGGTGCCCGAGTACGATTCTTGATGGACACTGATGTGAACACACCTTTTATTCAAGTACCCACGCCAGAATTCGAGCACCGTGGCCGTTCCCGAGTACATGGTGTTAAGCTGGTACTCGGCCACTGAACCAGGCACTGATATATCAGGTACCCAGTGTCTTCACTTTGTTTCGGCGGTGCACTGGCACTAATGCTCGGACACCAAGTGTGAACGCAGTCTTAGTTGACAACCTTATCTGGGCTAGTATCGCCTGAACTTAATTGGCTCTGTTTTAGTTCATCTGTTTTGCGCTCTGTATATAGAGGAGATGAACAAGATCCAAGCGAAACGGCCCTAAATCAGCCCAGAAATTCACACGAGATAACCACTTAGGCGAGGTAAATTAGGTAAACCTAACAAAGACATTTGTTTCTCGGTTACGCTCACTTCCTTCCGTAGGTGGTTCACATGCGGTGTCATTTCCGCCTCCCCCCCCCCCCCCCCCCCCCCCCCGCATCCAAACCCCGCACTTCCGCTAGCCCACGACTTGCGCACAGTGTTATTGCTCTTACGCGAGATAACGTCATTTGCTGAAAATTTACCCCCAAGCCTCTTTTGCAATAAAATTATTTTTACATAAATCTTTGCCTTGTCTCCTCCGTGTAGGTATTCTTTTGATTTTAGTTTTTTGGGAATATTTCCATATTAGAAATTAGCCAGTCCCATCCTTGAAAGAAAGCAAGGCCTGGGCGGTGAAATTGGGCACTGCGATGTCAAACGTGCGCAAGGCGTATTTCCAGCCCCATTCCTTTGGAATCAATGTTAGTGTCTGAACAAATGTGCACCCTCCCCTCCCTTCCTTCCTAACCCAACAACATTCAACTATTAACAAGTGAAGGTTAATGTTGGGTTAGGAGGGGAGGGGTAGGTGCGCAGTTTCTGAGAAACTGAGACTGATCTCCAGGGCTCGAATTTAATTTTTGGATCACTAACCCTTCGGATTAGTAGACATCTTTTTTACTAACCAAATTATAAAGTTATCCAAGCGGACAAGTTACGATATCTCAAAGATTGAACATTTTGATAATAACGACTAGGTCAAATTAAAGAGTAGCTGAAATTGCATGGTGACCTTAAAAACGTCGACAATTATGCACTATTGTATTTCCCTTTCGTTTATCATGATTAGTCAAGAACAGTACATCTACAGTACATCTACATCTACAGTGACTGACGTTTCGACAACCTGTGCGGAAGTCATCATCAGAGTCAAGTGAATGATTGTTGTCAGTAGAAAATGTCAGTAGACAATCATTCACTTGACTCTGATGATGACATCCGCACAGGTTGTCGAAACGTCAGTCACTACCACCGACAACAGTCCTTCTCAGGACTACACTCACCCGGACGATCAGACTACACCTTCACTTGAGTAATTTAATTATTCCTCTGAGAGTTGGGTGCACGTGCTCTTTGTCCCGAAGTCCACCAATGTTTAAATATGTTAGAAAATTTTACTAACCATGTCGGGTTAGTTGGACACATTTTTAGTAACCAAACGTTGAAAATTACTAACCATTGGTTAACGGGTTGCCTTTAATTTCGAGCCCTGAATTCTCCCCTTTGCATACTGGATTTTGTTAGTAATCGTTAGATTAGACAGCCTTCTGATGGTGCCTGTGTTTTTGCTTTTAATCTAGAACAGAATCTGCAATTTGAAACAATTTTTACTGTAATTGATCTCTTGACACGTGTTGATGCGAGTGGCAAGATTTTATCAGCAACTAGTTTCGAAATTCTTAAGTAAATAAAAAACGTGAGAAATTTTAAATGCAGTCTTAAGTGCTTTTGAGTCTTTCGCCAAGTTAAGTAGGTAATTAGGATTATGTCATTAAAGATAAACATTAAGCAAACTTTAATTAAAAGTAAGTTTTTCAACTCATACTTTGAGCCTTCACGTTTTCTTAAGACGAACAGAGTAATTTTCTCGCGATTTTCTGCAAAGTAGAATGCGACTAACCACTCATCATCTTTTAAACTATGTAACTGAATTAAATCTAGTGGTCACAAACTAACATTAGACAACCTAAACCTAACACTTAGTATTCTTCTAATTTTCATTCCAGGCCGAAAAATATCAAATTCTCACTAGTAGTGTTTGGGTACGGCAGGTGAGTCCTGGGAACCAACATAGCCTCGTTCCCAGACCCTTCCTTCACCCTTTTGTCTGTAGCTCGGTGACGAATTCCGCAAGGCTTGTGATCAGCGGCCATACGAATTGCAATGTTCAGCGTGCGTCATCAGCTATCAGGGTGGGGAGAGGGCTGGGAATGAGTATTCTGCATGCTCTCATGTTTAAGTGCTTACTTTTCCAGGACGAAAAACACCAAATTCTCACAACAGACATCTGGGTTAGGCAGGTAAGCGAAACAATCCAAGAAAATTATGGACTCTACAGGAGTTAAGTGCACCAAACAGATTTGATGAATCTCTTGCTTTTCTCTGGTCTTTTTTTTCTCTGACAAGCTCCGAGGTTTTTACTTTTAGGAGGATCAAAATGACACCCATGAGTTAGAAACTTACTCCCTTTAACCATTGTAGCATTCCAAACTTTGTGATGCTCAATCGATTTCTTGCTTCTACGATTGTTAGCGATTCTAAGTGGCAAACCATTTAACATCGCGTTAATTAACATCAAATCCGCGAATGACAAACGCACCATTACCAAGAGAGTTCTACTTGGACAGCGAAACCATCTATCCTCGAACGATAGCATTGCATTTCCACTTTGTTGATTTATCCGGAGAATTTGGTGTTATGTGCTATGAGTTTTTGATAATCTAATAAACTTGTAGTTAATGTTTTGGAAGTATATCAACTTTTTTGAGGGAAGCTCAATTACTGATCGCCAAAAGGGGATGTGTGCTCTAGATACCATTAATTTCTGATTTCTGCTTGTAAAGAGGATGCAATAGAATGTACTACTTACTGCGTTGTGAGATTTCAAAGAATAATTCAGCCGTTGGAAATTTGTCTTCAAACGCGTTGAAAACTTTTAATATGGGGGCCGCCATTTTGGTGACAACTTGGTAACCTGGCAACTCACGCAATTTCACAACGCGTGATTCCCACACAGCTGCGGCTCTGGTTACTACAAACAATCATTATTCGAGGAAAGAATGGCTCAAACAGATTGATTGTCGAGAAATGTATAACAGAGATGCGAGACTAGTAACATTACGTCACAGGTAGAGGGCCAGGCCGCAAAGCTAGATTCAAATGTTCACGCGCGTGATGGAAGTTTTAGCACGTTTGAAGACATTTTAAACTCGTTCCCAGGGCCTTTTCCCTCCTATCTAAGGGAAAAAGCCCGGGAACGACGTTGGACAGTTTTGAAAGGGTTAGATTACTTTTCGAGATCTAAACATGCGGTTGGGTTTGATGGTAAGGATCAATAAATATTTTTTGTGGAGCACTTCTCCTCTGATTTGAAGAGCAGTTTTTGACGTCGTAATACAACGTCGTAGTTTTTTTCACGCATTATCCCTTACGCTTGTAAAATGTTTGATGTGGCAGGAATGGATGAACGAACTGATCAAATGGAATACCAGTGATTATGGTGGACTCAAACAAATATCCATTGATTCTTCCCTTGTGTGGCAACCGGACACTGTCCTTTACAACAAGTGAGTGTAAATCGTGTTCCCGGCATGTTGTAGCATTCGAGACCCAACCCAGTGTGCACCACCACGTAACTTACCTTGAATGCATCGTCACAAGGGTGTAAAGTATCAAAGGAAGGGATTAAACTCTACCACATAAAGTACTTCTCAGCTGTTTGCATTTGAATTTGAACAGCCAAAGCTCCCGGCTTTTGCTGTTCTTGTGTATTTTTTTCTTTCAATGTGTGAACAGCAGGAATAAATAAATAAATTGTCACACACCGGTGTCTCATCTACAGACTTCAAAGTTGGAACCAGCTTGTACCGGGTAGCTAACAGTTGGACATGAAAAGTTAGCTCATTAGCTCTCATTCGAAAGTTTCTTGATTGTGTATATATGCGATAATGGCCAGCGGCTTGTCTGGCTCGTGAAAAACCGAATGATCAATACTGCGGTGATGTTTTTTAGGCTGAAAGATTGGGCTTTAATTTTAAAGTGATTGGTCAGCTTGGATTGGTCAGCTTGGAACACCAACTTGCTGTAGAATGATCTTTTTCAAAATAGGATTATCATTTCAATGTATTTTCTTTCATCTTTTTTAGTGTTTTTGAAGAATTTGATGGCAGAATGGATAACGTGAAAACCCGAATTCGGGTCTCACACACTGGTGAATGCTACTGGGCAGCACCTTTCATCTTCAAAACTTCGTGTCATTTTAACGTAGGAGATTTTCCTTTGGATGAGCAGCTCTGTAAACTCAAGTTTGGCTCCTGGAATTTCCACAAGGGACAACTTGATTTACTCCGCATGCGAGACGTTGCACCAGTGGCAAAGGAAAGAGTTGAAAATGGAGAATGGAACGTAACCTCTATTCAGATTAAGCGAAACGAACTCGAATATGCTTGTTGCGGAGATGATAAATACCCGGACATTACATTTTATATCAATCTCAAACGGCGCTCTTTGTTTTACACCTACAATCTGATCATACCTAATTTTCTCATTGCTCTACTCGCCTTCTTTTCCTTCTACATTCCAGTGGAGTGTGGCGAGAGAATATCATTCGTGATCACCGTCTTACTGAGCATGACCGTTTTTCTGCTGTTGGTTGCGGAGAGCATTCCGCCCACTTCTGAAGCAGTGCCAGTTATTGGAATGTACTACACTTGTTCCATTATTGAGGTCGCCTTAGCGCTTGTTGCAACGGGCATCAGTTTAAAGGTGTACTACGGCTATTTGTACGGAAATGGCCTATCACCTAGGTTGCGAAGATTTCTCTTTTATCGTTTGGCGCCATTACTGTGGGTTGACACAGAAATTGTCATCGGAGCCAAACCTACGAAAAACAAATCGTGCTTTCCGTTTAATTGTCTCAAAAAGCTTAAGGCAAGCGTTCCACGGGATAGTGTCGTCTCGATGTACAGTGTTACAGAGAACAAAACGAACCAGTCAAACGGCGCAGCGACGACAGCGAAGAACGAAGTAAATTTGCTCGCTGTTGATGCTAAGACTTCACAAGAAACCGATATCTCCCTTTTAGAGACACAACAAGGTTTATCAGACCAAGAGATACGACAGAGAGTGAAAAAAACGTCCGAGGCGCCCGAACTGCAACACGTAGTCTCTTCAACACTGATAGGGCACAGGGACACCGACTTCCATGCAACAGAAAGTAGGATTGCCGCGGCCATTGTGGACCGAGTTTTCATGGTGTTGTTTATTTTAGTGTTTTTCGTGTCAACACTTTTTATTTTACTTTTGCCAGTCATCAGGAAATGATGATCTCAAATCACGGCTCAAATTAGAACTGAAACGCTCTCGGGTGGCGAAGTTGTCTTCTGTTATAGGACTCATGACTGGGAAAAGAGGTCACGCAACAACATCTATCATGCAGTCAATCAAGCTTCAATGTTCTTACTTCGCAGCTTTTCGCGTGACATGAATCACGGTGAAGATGTAAAGAATAAATAAGGAAGAATTCCTTCTGATGAATGCGGTGGTTGCCATCGGGAATGTCTTCTTGACGGAAATTTTGATGTAAACATAATTAAAAGGCCAAAAGTTGCCCTGCTTTCGATTTAACCGTCGCAATAAAAATATCAGTAGGACAAGGATCGTAACAATTTTGTCCTTGAGTTAGTTGGTTTCTGTTTGCGTCGTTGAAAACAATAATTTACTAAAATAATTTGGCAAAATCCATTTTATATGACTTTCATTTGACGAGTTTGTAAATAAGTTGTAATCTGAAGTCCACATCTTTTGCTACAAAACATTTTTAAAGTACATGTAATTTAATGAATTTTGATTTGTTTCAAAGAAATTAAACACTTGAAAAGGAGGAACAGGTAATTTTATAAATTTAAATGTAAATAGTTTTCATCTGTTTTGAAATTTATTAATTAAATGACTGCGTTACATCCAACAAACATGTCATGTAACTGGAAAAGTGCTTTATTATTATTATCATCATCATCATCATCATTATTATTATTATTATAATTATTATTATTATTATTATGAAAGAAACTATGACAAGTTCTGTAATAAAAATCTGAACACTGTAGAATTGACTTGTTAGATTAAAATTCCCACAGGGCTCTATCCCTAGAACCCCGTTACTTCAACCCCTAAGGGAAATGAAAAACTTTTCCAGCCATCGGGATTGATGATGAATTTAAATCATTCTGTTCATGATTTTACCGTTCTTGCACAATCGATAGTCATTAAGTTTGTCTTATAAGAGCTTTTCCAAGAGAACGTTTAGTTTGGAAAATTTAGCTCAGTGTATTACGTTTTCACAAAAGGGTAATGGGTCCCTGGTTTTCATAATTGTTATCACGTTCATATCAATCGCGATGTAAGGTTTGGACGCGCCAATCAGCTATGTTTTGACACTTTGACGTTAATTAATTATTTTTACTTAAAGTTCGAGTTAGGGTTGGTGGGGAAGGGAGCGTTGCGTTGCGTGACGAGCCCAAACAACGGTTGCGAAGGAGACTAGAGTTAGCAGGGTGAATTTGAGCCAAGGGAAAGGAAGGTTAGTTCGAATTAACGGCGAGTTTGAGTTCACTTAGTTTGATTTGGCGGGGTTCTACTGTAGTTTGAATGGGAGATCGCGGATGCACCTTTTCACCTCAGCCCCAGACCCCATCGTTTTTCTTGGCCGTTGGAGTATCTGTACGATTGAGTCTGGTAACAAGAATCTCTCTTTCGTCTATGGTGACGTCATTATTCATAATGAAGCCCAGGCCTAGCGGGAGCAAGAATGTGAAGAACAAGGCTGTTTTATAACATTTTACGTTACTGAGAGACACTCCGTAGCTAACATAGACTTTATTTCATTATGACTATGCGCTGTTTGACAACTTTGTTAGCTCAATTTTTAACATAACTATTACGTTCCCTATGACATTTAGGCAGAATACAATTTTCAGGTTTACTAACTAATAACTGGACATTCGTTTTTTAAAGCACGCATTATATTACTTTTTATAACACCTAATCTCTCAAAAATACTGTGTCGTACCCAATCGTCAGTCCATAGTGACATGATTATAGATCCACCTACGAAACCTCGACACCCGAGTGTAGACGCCATATTTGCCAATTCTTCCGCAGCCATCCCCCCAGGATATGACACCCGCGAGCACCCAGCGTTGATCATCGTCACTTGCGGTTTGACTGTTTTCGATGGCCAGCGGTCCACCCGAGTCTCCATGGCAAGCCTCACCAAGTGTGCCATTATAATAACCTGCGCAGAACATATTTGATGTGACAGGATATTTCTTGTGTGCTGCCTGACACAACACTTGGTCCACTATTGGTACTTTGACCTGGTGCATTCTTCTAAGGACCTCCCGACCGGTTTCCCTCTTTCGGCCCCAACCTGTAATGACCCCAATGTTCCCAGTCTTTAGCAGTTTACTATCTTCGTCTTTAGTCCGCAGCGGGAGGCAGATAGGTCTGACGTAATCAGTGAATATGACGTCCGATTTCAGGTGAATAAGAGCGATATCTGCATCGTAGTCGGCACGGGCACTATCGTACTGATGATGAATTACGATCCTGTCTGGACTAACGATCTGTTCTCTGGATGGTTCAGCTTTGTTGGTGAACAATTTACCAAGGCGCACCTCAATATCACTTACGAATATACCTATGGAAGATGAAGTCTTAAAGCTTTAACTCTTAGTAGTGACTCAGTGGAAATTTCTCCTAGTAACCTTCATACATTTTCAAGTAAATCGGCGATGAGCAGAAAGGAATACGTAAATTTGGGGATATTGTTTGATTTGATTCTCAAAGCCAAAATTATTAAACGATGTATGGAGTACAGTGCAGAAATTAATATTTTGATCTTGAGAGTAAAAAGGTCTGACGATTTAATGTAAAATGCCTCTGATTCTTACCACTAACAGTAACACAGTGAGCAGCAGTGACAATCCACCTCTCAGAGACAAGTGATCCTCCACAAAAGTGTTTCTTAGCCTTCTTGTTCCACAGACTCACTTGCCAGGGATAGTGACCTGCTTCCACCTTCGTTCCGCCCACAATTTTGCCACGAGTCGTTAGGGTCGGCTTACCACAATCTAAAATACACAACAAACACAGTGAAATAAAGGAAACAACGTTGCGCCATTTTGCCTTTTCTTCAGTAAAAGAGCAGGACTGAATGGAAAAAATTTGTATAGGTAATCGCATGGGGCCGAGTAAAATTAAGAATTAATATCACGCGCGTTTTCCCTTCAACGAGTCTTTACCAGTTTGTTTATCAACTGAGTGAATGCCACCTGTATCCCAGTCACTCCAAAACAACCTGAAATGTATGGGGAAGACGAAAAAAAAAGGAACGATGAAAAAGTAGGGTGAGCTGTCTTATAGAAGATTAAGTGGTTACGACGTAATCATTCATTGGGTATTTTCTGCATTGTTTTTACTCTCTGTTATTCCATGGCTTTTAATTCACTCTTTAAATCAGAATATGATCCCCTTTCCATACATACAAAAACAATTTACACTAATTTCCAGTGTCTTATGAAGGAAAAAATAATCGGAAAGATGGACTTGGCCCGTGATTCCTATGGACTCGTATTGCACAGCCTCATGGGCCAGTCATTATTCATCACGATCACGTGCAGAAGGGGAGAGGGGTTTGGAGGATTTTGGGTGAATCGCATGGTTTTGAGATGTACAGCGGAGGGTCAGTCTTTAAGCATAAAGGGGTACTACAGAAGATTGACTGATTGATTGAAGGGGATTAGATTTCTTTAATACAGAGCCTGGAAAGAGGGGGGGGGGGTGTCAGGTTTATTAATGTGACAAAACCAAAATCCTCCATCTAATCGTTCCTCCCCAGTTAGATTATAGATAATGACCGGTCACTCTGATCTCTTAGCAAATAAAACTGCATTAAACACTGTACTGTTAAGGAATGGCCTTGAACGCCTCCAGTTAACTTATTTTGTGACCACAAGGCAGCTAAAACTTGTCGCGAGTCGCTCTCTTTCTTTCCCTTCGGCCATGTGGGTTGAACAAATTGTATTTGGACGAATTGTTTCTAGACAGTGTTACCATGACCGCCAGCCCGGCGTCATTTTACCTGTTGTTCAGGATGGCGAGGGAAAAAGGATGATTCACGTACGGAGAACTGAGCAAAACCCGGCGTCCACTTCCCTTTAAGTAAACGATATCAATCATGAGACAAAAAATAAGAAAAAAAGATAGAAAAGATGACTTTTAACTGGGGTTCAGAGTTTTAAAATTAAATCAGAATTTTCCATGGTGTTTTATCCTTGTAAAAACAATACCAAGGAAGAAATTCCATTGGCTTACTTCAGCTGAGGACACCAGCAAAATTGTTCGTGATTGGACGGGAGGTCGCACGGGTCAATAGCGCCACTAAGGGTGTCAACTGGATTTCAGGGGGGGGACGAAGGGGGAATCAGGTGTCGCCATTAGGGCACAAAGGGAGGGCGATAGAAAATTAACTGCTTATAAACTGCCGATAGAAGAGGAGGAGGAGGGATCTCAAGAATATTACCCAGCCTTATGCGAGGTTCAGATAAAATTTATCGTGAGACTGCCGAAATGTTCC